ACAAACTGTTTTAAATCAAAACTTCATGTGCTTAGTTTCTACTCCCATCTGTTTTCTCTCTCCTGATTATTTTGCCATCATATCAACCATTCCAACACCTACCAAATGCCATCTTCTTCATTAAGCTTTTCTTCCCATAAGCTTTTCTGCAGCACGAATGATAGCAACCAATACTTCTGGGAGCTTCTTGGGCATCTCCCCACCCCCATGTACTTCACACAATTTTTGTCATCTCGATGCACGGGGCATTGTCATCACCCCCTGTTACAGATGAGAACAAGAGGGCTTGGCACAATTCCATAGTTTGTTCACAGTTGCACAGCAATCAGGGCAGAACAAGAGTGAATTACTTTCTGTGAAGGGTACACCCAGGCACTGGTTTTAAATCCGAAGGCTATGCTAGAGTCCTTAACCTGAGAGCTTAACCATCAAGCCACCTTGCCAGCACTATAATACCTAAGCATTTGTACCTCCATGAAAGCATTTTCGTATGGTGCTCTGTCTAGTACTATAATTACACACTCCTTTGTTTTTTGTGAACTCTTTGACAGCAGTAATCATAGCATACAAATATTTACTGGAACTCACAGAAAAGATGTTGGTACCTGTAAAACCAACAGCACTTGTCTTTCAAATGTATTGATGTCTCTGTTTCACAGCATTTTCATTACCAAGGGAATATAATTTTGGAATCCTTTTTATGGAAAGATGATTCTTTTTGGGGTTCACTCCTAGTGATTTGACCTATTTTGCAAATCACTTCTCTCCTGGCTACTGGGCACTAGAGTGGTCAATTTTCTAGCTTTAGTTTGGAAGTAGGGATTGTGTCTTTTTTTTCTTCTGTGACCACTTAATGCTGTCTTAATAAGATCAGCTAGCAGTGCAAGTGCTTTAATGAAGGTGAAAGGAAACAGTGCTATAAACAAGATGACATATAATAATGACTATACATTCTGGTAAGAACCCATGTCCCTTAAGCCTATTAGAAAGTTAATTTCATATTACAAAGTAAAATTTTAAAGTTACATATAGATTTGTTTGAGAGGTAGAGACAGAGTGTTTAACTTCCAAATGACCTCAACACCTGTGGCTGGCTGGGGTCAACGCTGGGAGCTGGGAGCTCAACCCAGGTGTCCTGAATGGATGCTAGGAGCCTAATCACTTGAACCATTAATACTCTCTCCAAGAGTCAGCTTTAGCAAAAATCAAGACTCAAACCCAGGGCCCATCATATTATCCAAATAGTCTTAAGTGGGATATTGCATCCAAACTGGCATATTAACTGTGAGGCCAAACCCCCACCATCTTATACTTGTACAGGCCTTTGTGCTTGCTTTTATTTCTCCTTTATCTCAGTTAAACTGTCAGAATGTAACAAACTTGCACATTGTTGCATATATGTGATAATTTATGTAGTACCATAAATACAACATACATCATATAAAACATTGTATGAAGCTATTATGCAGCATTTAATATAAACTACAATGATGTGCTTATTAGATTACAGATGAAGTAACTAAAGCTCAGGCAAATGATTTCTTGGCAAAAGTTATACAAATAAAAAGCAAAACTAGCGCTCAAGCTCAAGTTTGATTCCAAGTTCAGTGAGCTCTGTCCATTTCATCTTGGGTCTGTCTGTCTTACACCTAGGACCTGTGACCCAACTATTTCTAAGTGCATTGAGGCGATGTCATAATCCCAAATTGTACCCTTTAAAGAAATACAGTTCAATCTGGACTATTCTTATAAGAGTTGTAACACTCGGTGAGTCTGAATTTATGAATCCTTTTCAGAGACTGTGACTGCCAGTGTACATACTAATTTCAGAATTCTCTGCACACTGACATGCCAACCCTGAGCTTCACAAGATCTCATTTGTGACCAGTACCACTGACCTCTCCCTAATATTATTGCCGTGGATTTCACATTCAGACTTTTTTCCCCTTGTAGCCTAACCACAATAGATATTTGATAACTTATAATAAATGTATTTGTAAGAAATCTCCTGAGAACAGTTTTGTAAATAGTGTATAGAAAGTGCTAGATGTCAAAGTAGGAGTACAGGAAGGTTAACCAGTGAGCCAAAAAACTGGGAGCTCTTATAGTTTTGCCATCTGTAGTGACGATTGTATTCCCTAAAAACATGTGTTCAAGTCCTTAAGCTCAGGTATCCATAGCATGAACTTATTTGAAATAGGGTTTTGGCAGATAGAAAAAAGTTAGGTAAGGTGATACTGTATTCACCCCAGGACTGCTAAACCCAAGGACTGCTGCCTTAGAGCGAGCAGAGGAGCTTTGGATACCAAAACTCAGAGTAGATAAAGGGATAGAAGTCATATGACAACTGAAGGAAGACTGGAATGATACAGCAATACCAAAGCATGCAAGGCTTGCTGGAGCCACCAGAGGTTAGGAAAAGCAAAAGATTCTTACCTGGAATCTTCAGGAGCAAAGTCTTAATGCCATCTCTCTCCAGACTTCTCACCGCCAGAACTGCAACAGAACAAATGCCTATTACTTTAAGCCAGCCAGCTTGTAGTAGCAGAATGTGGCAGAAAGCTTGAGGGTTCTGGTCTAGCGTGTATGCAAATGGAAACACATAGACCACACTCTGGAGCTGTAAGCCAAAAAGGAATATATTTGGGCTGGTCAAGCCAGGAATGAAACCATCTTGTGGCCATAAAACCTGGTTCCCAAGCAGCCAGGAGTTACAGCTTTTATGGGGCTTCCTTCTAGGGAAGCTGTCCATGTGAATTATCTCAGTTACAGACCGTCAGCAGAAGAGAGGGCTGCAAAAGCCCACCAAGTATTTATATATTACACCAAGTGGAGTGGACGGTGGAGTTGTAGAAACGTGGCAAGAGGGTTTTTGGCTTTCTCTGCGGGGAAGGGGAAGGTGAGGGCACTACGGCTGTTGGCCTAAATGCTTTGCAAACTAGCCACAGCTGCATCAGAGACGTGGTAGACACGGGCCTGTCCGCGTCTTTATGCAATCAGTTGTATCCCTTTCACCTGCGAGAACCATGATTATTCTCAACACAGATTTAGTCAGTTTGCCTATTTTTCTCCCCAGGGAGCAAGGCTGTGACTAATTTGTTGCTACTTTTACCCCTAGGAAACTGAGTGTTTAACATACCACCCTCCATTTTAAAGTCCATCAATGCTATCAATCTGAGCTTCAATTTTAATGGAATCCTTTTCACTAATCAATGTTCTTCCATATTTGTTCCCAAGCATGCAGCTCTGACTGAAGCCCTGTAAGAATCCCATCTAGCCATCTTCTGTGCACACTTTCCTTATCACTTCCTTCATTGGCACTTACAGACTTCCTACATCTGCTAAGCCACAAGTCATTCTGCATAAACCATACACCAGTCTTTTAAAGTGTAACATTAATCCAGTTGCTAGTATGTCACATAAACATGTGTCACAGGATTTCTCAGAAGCCCTTCCATTTGTGTGAGTTCTCTGAATTTTGGCTGTTCATTCTGGGAGTTACAGCAAATGCCTGGAGGATCCGCTGTCTCAAGGTCACCAGAGGCTCATCTCAAACCTGCTAGACACTCTTCCAAAATTGTCTTTGGACTTCTTAGAGGAGGGAGATAGGGGAACAAAAAGGAATGAGACACAGGTGTTAAGGGCAAGCAAGAGGCTACAACAGTAGTGATTTTTGTTCTCTTGGCTTTTTGTTTTTTATAGTTTTGTTTGCAAAGTGACCAGATGAAGGTGGAAAGAAAGGGGAAAGGGGAAAGTACTTCCCAGGAGAGAGCCAGGAGATGGGGTGTCTTGTGAGAGGGAGAGACACTCAACAACAGTGATGTTTTAAAGCTGAATTTACTTCTGCCACTAAACTGGCTATGAAGTTCAGGAGTTTTTTTAAAAAACGTCTTTCATGGTCTGAATTCCTTGTTAGTGTGGGGCTTCTTTTTTAAGGTTATTTATTTGAGAGGTGGTTATAGAGAGGCTGGGAGAGAGCTCTTCCACTCGCTGATTCACTCCTCAAATGGCCACGGATGACCATTCATATATCAGATGCAATGGCAGGGAGACCAAGTCCTTGGGCCATCTTCTGCTGCTTTCCCAGGGACCGAAGGTAAGGAACTGGAGGCTGGTGTTATCAGCCTGCAGCGTAACACAGTGGTGCAGGCAGCCTTGAGTTGTTTCTTGGAGATCCAGCCCACTGTAGGTCTCCCCCAGCCCATACTTCGTGCAGTGGCAGGTGCAGAAAGCAGTTCCAATGGTGGTCACGGGGAACCCATCCACGGATGCTAGTAGCGGTCTACCCAGCAATAAAAAAGAAAACTCTCTGGCAGATTAAGATTTCTCTGTGAACTGTGAACCAAAACCAACACTACCACCCTCCCTCCCCTTCCATCTCTGGTAATCATCAGAAAGGCCTGACCATACCTCCACCTGTAAGTTATTAATAATTATCGCAAACCCAGGAGATTTAAGACTTCGCCAAAATTCAGTAGCTACTCCTACTTCACTGAACCTAAATCGGTTATGGTATAGGAATTCCAGTTTAATCTGTGAGGAGATTTGAATGTAACTGACACAGACTTAAATGGAACATACAGATGAGATTTATTTTTGTAGCTGGCAGGCTTGGATGCATGCCGACCCCACATCGCCGCGAGCTGCTCGGGCCTGCCTTTCAGGACTCCGGACCGCCTGCTCCAACACCCGTACAGCGGCTGCCGCCTGCCTGCCTGCCTGCCTGCCTGCCTGCCTGGACTATCTGGGCCCTCGGGCGCTTCTTGGGGACGTCCCACTCGTTCCAGCCCTCGGGATCTCCGGAGCGCCTGGCAAGAAGCAGGGAGCCTCCGCCCCGCGCAGGCCACCGGGGCGCCCGGCAGGCTAAGCGCGCTCCGCGTCCCGAGGAGGCCGACAGGGGCGGCAGCCCTGCTGCACCGCCAGGCAGGGCCCGGGGTGCTGGGCGCCAACACGAGTGCGGGCTTTCCCCACCCCCGGCGGCGACCCCACCTCCCGCCCCCGCGGCGTGCGCGCCTGTGTCCGTCTGTCGGTCTTCTCTCTCGACGTCAGTGGGAATTTCCAGCCAGGAAGTGAGAGAGTGAGCCAGAGAGCAAGAGAGAGAAGTGCACCAGCGAGCCGGGCAGGAAGAGGAGGTTTCGCCACCGGAGCGGCCCGGCAACGCGCTGACAGCTTCCCCCTGCCCTTCCCGTCGCTCGGGCCTCCCGCCGCCGCCGCCGCAGCAGCTGCCCTCGGCCTGCACCCCGCCGACAGCCCGGCGCAGCCCAGGCCTGAGCCGCGGGGGCCAGGAAGGCGCTCCCCGCGCCGCCCGGCTACCGAGCGCCCTGCGCTTTGCCTCCGACCGCGCTGCGGACATGGCGCGGCGCTGACTGGCCCGGCCCGGCCAGACTGCACGCCCGCTCCCGCGTCCCGACCCGCTCGGGCCCCGGCCCCGACCCCGGCCGGCCACTGCCTCCTCCTTCGCCAGCCTGCAGGCCCGCGCCGCCCCTGGGGGCTGCCCACAGGCGCAGGGAGGCCGCGCGCTGACTCGCCACCAGGGTAAGCACAAGTTGGGCTGGTGGGGGGCAAGCTGGGGGCTTGGGGGCCGCGTCCCGCACCCCTTTAGCCCGCCTCGGACTTCCTCATTCCTCTCTTACCCACTGGGTTAGACTCTGGGTGGAGGTTGACAGTAATTGAGAGGCACATGGGATTGGCGACCGGGGCGAGGGGGAGGGAAGCACATCCGGACTCGGCGGGTGCCCTGCAGCCAGCCCGAGGGCCGCGGCCGCCGGACTGTCCTGTCTCCTCGGGTCGCTTTGCCTGGGTGAGCACGGATACCTGGAGGGACTCTTGGAAACTTCTTCGTCGTGGTCGTCGTCTTTTTTTTTTTTTTTTTTTTTTTTTTTTTTTTAACACGCACCCCCTCACTGGTCTCTGTTTAGGGAGAGGCTGGAGGTTCGGAGTGCGCTGCGGCGCGGAGATTGGGAAAGGTGGTTGGTGCAGTGCAGAACCAGATTTCACCTAAGGGTGTTCCATGAAATGAAAGCAGAAGTGCTTGTCAGTTCTCTAGGTTGGAAAAGCCCTCCTAGCTTCCCAGAATTGAACAGGAGAGCCTATTCCTCCCTCTCCTACTTCTGAAAGAATCCCTCGCTTCCCATAAGTGTTTGTGGGGGTCCGCCCGCGCATGGACATACGCACACACGCACACCACACACGGCGTCAAGGGTCGTGATCTGTTCACCTGCTCTAGTTGTCAAAAAGCGGAGGCCTAGTATTCTTCCAGGCCCTGACGTTTGAGAAAGATGAGAAATCACACACTTGCAGTGCCTTTTAGACACCGAATTACATAAAACTCTTGCACGGTGGCACCATGCATTGTGTCTGACCTCTGAACCCAAAATCATAATATAAACAAAGCCTGTTCTAAATATGTTGTCTTATAAGGTTTAAAGTAGACATTTATGGAGATGTTTGGTCCATCCTGACTGGAGCTTAAGGGTACTGGGTTTGAATATCAAGATTTCGAATATTTTTGTGATCTTTAGGTAGAAATTTTCAGCATTACAACTTATGAAATGACTGTTTAATTGGAAGATTTTCTTATAAAACTTATGCCCTGAGAAAAACTGTTATAATATTATTAAAATATTTAGTAGCTCTGGCATCAAATGTTTTCTACAATCTTGGAAACAAAATAGTAATTTTTCTAGCATGATTCCTCAACCGAGTATTCTTGAATAGCGTTAGCTGCATTAGTTTTGCTTAGACTTTAAGAGGGAAACTTAATTAAAATAAGCCTTTAGCTGACGTATGTTGTTTTCTTGATTTTAATATTGCGCTTTCTAGAGATGAATCTTTCCTATACTTTATGTACTAAGGAAATTATGTAAATAAAGCAAAGTACTTTTTGAACTTTGGAAGACAGGACATCAAAAGAAAATCGTCTTAGCATTTTATATTTATCATGTAATTGAATGTTGACACAAAAAAGTATATATGTATTTATAGATGAAAAGGAGACAGGAAATCTCATGAAGCCGTTCATCCATATTTATAAACTTGGAACTCCTGAATGACCTCCTTGGCTTGTTGAGGTAAAATGTCTTCCTGAGCTGCAGCCTAGGCAGCCAACTTGAACACAAAAGATTCATCATGTGTAGGTTTTAATGCTGGAACATCAGTACTGCTTGTTGTGAAGCGAACCGCTTCTACCCTGCTTGAAGGAGATTTTTGAGAAAGTGGTATTATCCTGCTAGGAGCTGGTGGTGACTTGTAGACCTGTTATCCTTGCTTTGAAATTTCAGTTGAACCTCTTGTTCTGCAGTTGGTGCTCATGCAGGCTGATGGCTGCTCCTACTTTTCAAACTCTGTAAATATAGGAGTGTACATGTAAAAATAGTCTTGTTCCCCTTTGTCAGCTTCCTTTGATCTTTGCACTTCCTTTTTACTTCTATCACTTAAACAATATCATTTGTGATATCTGAGTCGCAGTTGGTTTAAAGCTCAGTGAGTCTGAAATAAGCAGAGTTACAGATCTACGGATCACACACTTGACATTTCTCTCATCATTGTTCCTTGAAACAAACTGAAACTAGATTGAGTAACATGTGTACAGGTTGTTTTGGCTACCATTTTTTGGACTGCCAAATAATGGATGAAGTAAATTACTGCCTAGACTTTCAGAGATTGCTCTTTGTAGGAGAGAGAAGATCTAAATAAGCCATTGGCACCTTATATGAGTCTTAGACTATCAGCAAGCCCTGTTTTTGCCTGATTTGAGGGGAGGTATTCCCCTCATCAGAAGAGGTGAAAGTTCTGGCTTCTGGGGGAAGTGGTTACTTCCTAACCTTCAATTAGTTTGAACTCAAGAGTAGAAAAGGAGTTCACATTTAAAATAATAAAGTAATTCTAAGTTGCCTTACGGATTTTTGATCAAGAGCTGCAAGTGTCTGATTCACCTTTCAGAACCTACTGCTAGATATGCTCTTCTAAAGAGATGACTGCAGTAGGAAGTGCATCTACAAGAGGAGATGGTTTAACTGTAGGACAAATACTCACACTCTGCTTGTCTGCCCTACAGACTGAGCAGGATTCACATCAGCAGGAATGGGCCTGTATGAATCAACTGCTGTATAAAGTTTCTCCTTGATGTGTCTGTCTCATAGTAGGCATATTGGTTTGGTTGTTTAAGTGGCTTGCTGTTTACAATGTGAATCATAGGATAATGGGGATGTTATGTTTAAAGAAGATAAGGAGGAAAAGGAAATTGAATTGCAGTGCTGGAGGATACTTTCAGTCGGTTTGCCTCTCCAACTACACATTTGTCTAATAAGGGTTAATTGACAACTGCTTCCTGGTGACCAGTAAACCACAATGGAGCAATTTATCCTGCTTTCTGGGAATTCATTTTCATTTGCACCTCCCATAAATAGAGTTCAATTAATATGTTCTCGGGCGAGAACTGAAGTCGGCAGGAGTGTACATGGCCTTTCATAGTGTTTGGAATTAGTTTAATAGTCACTTAGGAGGCTTTGAGACTTGAAGTGATGGAGGCCTTGGCTCAGGGAGAAATCTGTTGGTTTTGTGGCATGGTCCTGCAGGTCACTTTAACACCTGTGCTGTATATACATGTATGTTGAAAAATTAATATTTGAAGCCACATAGTTTGTTAGAGTTAAGTTAGGGTTGAACATAACTGAGTCTCTTACCTTTGTGATAATTTATTAATGAGTATCTAGTGCTTTACTGGAGATGAACAAAAGAAAAAGAAGTGGCATTTATTTAATGATGGTGAAATTGCTTGATACCTTTAGTCTCTGCTGCATTAGATGTTGCTACTGGATTGAATTGATAGCTGTCTTCCAGATGTTCAGAGGAGGTTGATAAGGTCTGGCCCTGATAATCAGACAATAGTTTAGAAAATAAGTTGTGAAATAAAGCTGCTTTGCTTCACTACACTAAAACTAGCAGTTTACACAAAAGTGGTATAAGATGTGATTTATTAAGGATTCTGGAAACCTCAGTAAACACATTTGCTTAGAATACTAATCATGAAAGTATTTTAAGTTTGGAAAAGCTCAATTATTCTTTACATTTTGTGTAGTAATTAACACAGATTTGTTTATTAGCAGTCAAAATTCCCCTGCTTAAATTTGCTACCTTTTTTGAAATTCAAGTAATGATACATATGGTTTAGTTATTCACTTCAAACTACTTGTTATTTATCTTTCACTATCAAGCCACCTAAATCCTTTTAAGTATCTTTATAGGGGGAAAAGAAAAGGATTTTTTTGAGAGTTAACAAGCTCCAAGCCGTAAGTTTGTATCCCCATATGTCCACAATATCTGGGACAAGGTCGAGGTTGAAGCCAGGGGCCAGGAATTCTGCCTCTAGTAGGTGACAGAGGCCTGTTACCTGACCCATTATCACTGGTCCAAGAACCTGCATCAGCAGGAAGCTGGAGCCAACATCAGGACAAACCCAGGCACTCTGACATGGCTTGCAGGCATATTCATTGGCATTTTAATCACTAAGTTAAATGCCTGTCCTTAACCAGTTTTTATTCTGACCCATAGTTTTAGTAAATAAGCTATCCAAAGATATTGGGGATTTTAAGATTTATTTTTATTGAAAAGGCACATATACAGAGAAGGGATAGAGAAAGATCTTCCACCCACTGGTTCACTATCCCAAGTGGCCACAATAACTGGAGCTGAGCTGACCCGAAGCCAGCCAACAGCTTCTTCCAAGTCCCTCCCGTGGGTGCAGGGTCCCAAGGCTCAGAGTCATTCTATACTGCTTCCCAGGGCACAAACAGGGAGCTGGATGGAAAGTGGAGCAGGCAGGACACCGACTGGTGCCCATATGGGATGCTGGCGCTTGAAAGTAGAGGATTAGCCAGTTGAGCCATTATGCCAGCCCTGGTTGATTGGACTTTGAAGAATGTAAATATTCGTTATTGCTTATTTCCAGAGAGCCCAAGTTTAAAAAGTGCAATAGAAAAAGCTGTCGGAGGAAATCAAATCCTTTAGTTCCAGATGAAGGAGTATCTAACCTACACTGACAGGCAGAGGTTTCTGATGCTGCATAAGCTGCAGGTTTGCCCATAACAACCAGTGTTAATTGCTGAATGAATCGATTCATTTGCTTTGTTAAATAGCAGTCTTTTTCTGTAAGGACAAAATATTATACTGTTTTTTGCTTCCCTTCTGGGGGAAAAAAAAAAAGGCACCCAAAAGCATAGCTCTTGCTTCCTGGCTGTGCTACTTTCTAGAGTGCACTTGAAATGTACTGGAACAGATAAACTGTTTTTAAAAATGCATATTTTCTTCCAGAGGGAAGCATTTCATTCTGAAAGAGGAGTTTATGATCTGGAAAGTGCCTTTCTGTTTTGATGTTTTAGAGAGGCATTTGTCAAGCATGATCATACAGTAATTGGCATGATAAATGATGCTGTTACAAGTGAAAAATGTAACTTGGCAGAGTGAGAATTTCTCTAAACCCCACTGAAACCTTCCTTTCAGTGCTAGTGTCTTCAAAAAAGGAAACAGTGCTGTTA